AGTATTTCTTCATCTGAATTACATTCTTCTATTATTTTATTCATTTTATTTTTAATGGGATTCGAAGGTAGCACATCAGAGACACCACACAGAACACTAAAATATTTCCATCCCTCGATCCCTCCCAGTTAGGACTGATTATGACGTTACGTTTGGTTAGAAAAACATCTTACCCAGTACTGCAAGAATAGCAGTGTTTATTAATTACAATGACAGAATATCATTGACAATAAACGAATGGGTATTTATAAAGATGTTATTATTACTTGTTAGAATACAAGTATAATTGATAATATAAGAAAGATTATCAAAAGAAAAGGGTCAAGTGGTTGAGGCTAAAAGAATATTAGCCTAAAGCAATACAGTAGTAATTATATATTCTCCTTAAAATAAGAAAATAAAGAAGAAGAAATTTAAACCCAAAGAAGAAGAAATTTAAACCCATCAAAATTAAAAAGAAATTAAATAATGAATATTTAAATAATTGATGTTTAAAATACTCTATTCAACATCAAAAATGAGAAAAGAAAATTCTCACCGTTCAACAACTAAAAGCAAAGAATAAGCCAAAAGTTGATGAACAAATACTTTTAAGCGAAGGGATGGGATTAGTTAATCTCCCTTGAGCAAGGAACAATAGAAGATATTTCTATTAATACTTAATTAACTACTTTTTATTTTATTATTTTAATAAACATCATTTCATTTTTATTGTTTTAAATAACATAATAATAATGTTGTTATGTTAATTTTCATAGTTTTATTGGAAATGAATATTTTATAGAAATGTAATGAATAAATGAACTTTAAAACAAAATGAAAATCAATAAAATACAATGAAGTGTTGAGGTATAAAAGAAAGTATAATAAAAGAAGAAAGAAGAGTGATGACAAATGAAAACAATATAAATAACATAAAAATGAAATAGTAAATACAATTGTAATTATACTATACTAAAAAACTAAAAGAATGAAGGATAAGAAAAATAAAAAACGTCAATAGGAAGTATAAAAAGAAGAAGAACTGAAAGAACAACAGAACGATGCAAATATTTGTTAAGACTCTCACTGGAAAGACCATTACATTGGAAGTAGAACCAAATGATTCTATTGATGCTATTAAGGCTAAGATTCAAGAAAAAGAAGGAATTCCACCAGATCAACAAAGACTTATTTTTGCAGGAAAACAATTAGAAGAAGGAAAGACCCTTTCAGACTATAACATCCAAAAAGAATCAACACTTCATTTAGTCTTAAGATTAAGAGGAGGATATTAAAATAATTGAAATATTCATTATAAATAACAGTTTAAAGATAAATAAAAGAAATAAACATAATTAACATTTTACCAAATTAATACCATTTTAACAAACAAAAATACTTTAACTAATTTTTGTTATTGAGTATGAGTTAACAACTTTATAAAAGCATTGAATACCAAGAAATAGTAATATCTAACGAATTTAAATGGATAAGAACTGATAAACTAAATTTTTTGTTTTATTTTTTTATTTATAACCATTCAAAAACTCAAATGAAAATTATTTTGATATATTATACAATTGCCTTGTCTGATTATGTTTTAATTTATTTTTGTTTTGTTATGAGTCGAGATTTATTATCGAATTAATATAAATAACAATTATTTTTTCTTAATAACCATTCTTCAGTAATTAAATTCAATATAAATAATAAATTATATACATTATTCACTCATAATTTATATACACTTATCATTATATCAATTAAATATTAAATTTGTTTATAAAATCATCAAAAAGTATTAAATTTATAATAAAACTCTTTGTTATTATTTATAAATAAAAAGTATTTTATTTATTAATTAATTCAATAAATTATGTAGCAAATATATTTCTCTCTTGTTTATTCTTCATATCGACAATAATTAATAATTAAATTAAATCAAATATAATCAATTAATTTGTATTTTTTTTAATTATAAAATTTGATATAATGTTTTAGTAATGAGAGGTATTTATGTTAAAATGCAAATGTTATGTTCTATAATGCAAATTAAAATTTCTATAACAATGATGATTATTTTTATGAAAATATAATAACTCTGTAATTTTTTTGAAATTATTAACAAACACACTTTATTGATTATCTTAGATAGTATATTATAAGTTGAATTTCTAAAAATAATTAATATATTTATTTTTAAGTTTTAAAGAATCTTATGAAATTTATTAAAATATAATTGTGATTATGAGAGATGACAAGTTAAATATCATTCAATTCTGTTGTTATTTGTTTTGTATATTCTATGAAATTAATTAAAACGATAACGTAATCAAAAATAAACGAAAAGGAACAAATTGCAAGTTTTAAAATGAAATTAATTTTGATAGAATATATTGTAATTCATTATCATTTAATTCAATAATTAATCTATTACTTAATGCTAAATATTAAATAATGTTACAAAAGAAATTAACATTAATTTAACAAAAATATCTTAATATATTGATAAACAAATAAACTAATTTAATAAATTGAAACTATGCAAACCATTAAACTTAAATAAACGAAGCACTAATGAATTTAAGAATACAAAAGGTTATGAAAAATACAAATTTATTTGATAAATTGAGTGAGTTACAAAAAAAAATATTTTTTTTGATAAAGTATAGAGCTAAAAACTCTTATTTATTTTGTTTATTTAAACAAAATCAATCTTAAAAACTTGTGTTTCACTACAGGATCAATATTTATAGAGAGTGATGTGTTTCATATTTTAATAAAACTAAGAAGGAATAAACAAACACAAGAGATAAGAAAATAATAAAAATAGTTAAAAAAGGAAAAGAATATAAAATGGATAAATTGAACATTTAATTTAAAGAAATAAAACTAAAATTAAATGTCAAAAAAAAGAAATAAAACTTATTAATTAACAATAAAAAGATGAAGCCATCATCAACAAGAAAAGAAGTATACCAACGATTAATCAAAATGACAAAAAAGAACATACCTAAAGAGTTAATAAAAAAAGAAATTTATAATAAAAATAATTATAATTCTTTTAAAATAATTGAAGAGAAAAATAATAAAACAACAAACATATTAAAAAAGGAAATCCAATTAATTAAAATTGATTCTAAAGATTCAACAGAAGAAATCAACCAAAGTTATACTGATGAAACAAGTATAACTGAAGAATGTCAGTGTGAATATTCTTTTGAAAAATATAAAGACATGTTATTAACAATTAAAGAATTAGTTAAAACAATACACCCAATAGCAAACACAAAATGGATTAATAGATGGAGTAACTTAATAATTCATAATTTAATTTTTTATGGAATAACTGTTAAAGAATGGAAAGAAAGTGAACAATTTAGAGTATTGAGTATTGAAAATTTACAAAGAAAAGTGGTTGATCAAATGATTTTAAAATATAGAAAACATGAAGTAATAATTAAAGCAATATTTGTAGACAAAGTAAGAAAAATAATAAGTTACATTAAAGAACGTAATAAAATAACAATTGAAGATATTTATCCGTATATATCAGTTCCATCTCATTGGGGATATTCTTTTGATATTGCTTTATTTACAGAAATAATTGAAAAAGGAAATGAAATGTATTTAGAATATATCGATAATCCAATTATTAAATATTATTTATTAAAACATTTTGGAGTAATAGATAGAGAAAAACAAATTAAAATTATTAAAACAAGATTAAATTATTTAACTTTATTATTTAATATATAATGTTTTTTTCCTTAGTTCTTCATATTTCTTTTTTATTTATTTTATTAAAATATTATCAATAAATATTTATTCATTTGTCTAGGAAAATATAAAGAAAATCTAAATGTAATAACAAATTCAACTTTCTTTTTTCTTTCATTAAAATAACATAATTTTTTTAATAATAACAAAAATTTATTTATTATTTTTTTTTTTTACTTTAACCTCTTTATCATCTATTCATTATTATTGAACTCAATAACAACTTTTCACTTCATTCTGATAACCAAAAAAATTAAACCAAATGAATAAATTAATTCGTTGGTTTAATATTTTCATATTCCAATAAAATATCTAATGCATCTTTCTCTCTCTTGTTTTTGCAAAGTAATTTAGATAATAACATAAATACTAACATTAACACACATAATATTGGCATAACAAATGGTGCATACTTGTAGATGTATTTCACGTATCTTAATTGTGTAATTGCTTCTCCCATAAATGAATGGAATGAACTTCCTGTAAGGAAATTAGAAAATGTTTCTGAACTAAATTGGTTTACTCCAAATGCAATAAGAACTAATAGAATTCCATTGAAACAAAAAGCATTCATATATGTATTAGATACTTCAAATGGATAAAATACAAATCCTAATGCAAATCTAAATCCTACATATACAACAGCTTTAAATGAACACAACAACAAATATCCTGCAAAAATTCCATAAATAATTGCTCCAAAGAATGCTATTGGACCTGTCATCCATTGCATAATCCAATCTACAAATGGGAAAATTTTTAAAATTGTCCAAAGGACTAATTGAACCATCCAAAGAAGTGTAAGAAGTGTTGCAATAACTCCTAATATAATAGCAACATATCCCCATAAAAATCCTTTTAAATTTCTTCTTTTATTTAATACTTTAAGTCCTCGATCAAGAATATATACTTCTTCTCTAAATTGTGAATATCTTTTTCGATACTTTCTTCCTGTTAATTGTTTAATTTCTTTTCCTTCATCAATCATTGCTAATGCACGTTCTCCAATAAGTTTATTATATTCTTTGA